GTACAAACATGTAAGCAACCTATAATGACTTTCGACAAGAGAACCATTTATTTGTTACTCTGTATTTCTTCAACTTACAGAGACAAAAAACGACCCGATTGTCGAAGTCTTTTAGTTATCTTGTACTCGAGACAATGAATCTTCCATGCCATCTTTGTTGTACTTTCGGTTTGACGAATCATCTAAATTTAAACTCTCCTTCGATCATGCATCCCGGAAAATAACTGAACATCGTATATTTATGCATTTTATTTGGAAATTAATGTACCTTTTTTTTTTACGGTAAGTGAAATCGACGTCAGGCATTCTTGATAGAATATGCGTCGGGCGCGTTCAACGTAATAACGTCACAAACGAGAATAACGTCACATAACGTTATTTTACGTGGTATGGATCTTTACCTTAAGTGGCGGCCGCCACTTATCATTTTGCAGCCGCCAGATAAAATATTTTTCGTACATGGCACCAACGGGCTTCCGTAGTTTCCCCCTTTTTTTGTTTGTCAGGTTTTTTAGAAGGTCAAAAAATTCTCTTACACTTATACCCCCCCCCCACTTTCAATTTGCTTCCGACGCCAATGAGGGGTCATAAAAGTTCAACGATCCTACTTTTAATCTCAATGTTATTTTCCCGCTGTATTTTTTTTCCCTTTGTAAAAAATGACATTGCACGAGATCAAAAGTCTGTTTTTTTCTAGAGCCAATATGAAACCAACATTTCCTTCACCTCGTTATACGTGTACATTACAGCTAATCTCCAGCAGGCCCCGGTGATAAAGGGACCATCCGAGACCGGAAGTAGTGGTGACGTCACTGTAGCGGTCACTACAGGAGTGCTATCGGTCATCGCTCTTGTCTTAGTCGGCGTCTTTATATGGAGGAGGTATCACAGACCAAGAGGTTTGTATGTTAAAGTGGAAACTTAAATATAATCATTCGATCAGTATACACAGCTACAAAATTAATGTGATTTAGTTTTCATAAACAATGCTTGTAAAACCGGAAGTTATATCATGATCGTCAAAGTTGGGATTCACTAGGCGTATCTAACGTAAATTGATATTTTAATTGCATGTGTTTGCAATGGTTAGAAGACTGATCTTTTAACTTGGCATTTGGAAATCAAAAGAAAGAAAACATTCATTTAAGTGAGGAATATAATTTTTGAGAATTCCTAAGGAAATAAACTACAACGCATCACGCTTGCATATATTTCGAAGCGCGTTAGCCCTTCATGGTAATATACATGTGTGAAGCGTTGTAGTTCATATATCTTCACAAAAATAAAATTTTAACTCATATTTACACCATTTTCATGATGACTTTCCACAAATACATGTATATGTCGCTCAACGATTCCTTTTTTAAAAAAGGTTTTCACTATTTTTTTTGACTTCAATCACATAGCAATGGAAATATTAGTACTCATCCCATGGTTGTTCATTAGAAAATAATAAAGCTTTCATATTTGCAAAGAATTTTAAGGAAAAATATTTGGAAATATAAAAATCAAGAAATATCCAATAAATATCCAATAACTATTGGATTCACTTTGTGTCGAATAAGGATGACATTTAAAACACTAATGTATTGTAACAGTAAACAAATCAATCTGCCTATATTTCTCCGATTGAAAAGTCTTTTTATCTCTGTCCCTTTATTATGCTCTTATATTTATAAGCCTGTCTAACGTTTTATTACATGATCATTTGCAGGTCAGGGTACTAACATAGGAATACAGAATCCGATGTTTAATGCTAAGGAAATGAACACATACGAGATCATCCGTAGGTCACATCCGGAAGTCAACATGTACGCCGATTTAACCCCCCTGGACGTCACAAAAATTCAAGACAATGCAGTGTATTACGACACAGCCAAACCTTTCGAGGAAAATAGCATGTACTTGCCTATACAGGAATTCACAAAGGGGGATGATTCCAGGGATACCCGAAATTCTCGAATTTCTCGGATGTTTAGTCATACTGATTATGACGTCATACCGGCTAATGAAGACCAAAGTGCTGAAGTGGGACAACAGAGATATATAGTAGATGACACATATCTAGTGCCCAGACCGTCCGTGAAGAAGCATTAAAACTATTTGATGAATATGTTTTTTTCTGTTCTCGGATTATGATCTGATACTTTTAAAAAAAGGATTACAGCGAAGCGAGATTCGATCAAAAAGACGATAAAATGCTCTCAAAAAATAAGAATTAATTTCTTACATACATTTTGAATAGTTTTTTGGACAATTTGTTTATTTTATCGATGAATAAATTAATTCTTTTTATAGGACATTGCAGTGTTATTGGAGAAAACAAATGTATCTTTTAAAGTTTACTCATAAGCACACATCTCTCAAGGTATGCAAATGTGATTCTGCGATGCATTTAAAAGGTAACAAACTGTGTCGGTATTTACTCGGCAATTTCCAAGCGCCATGGAAATGCTTGCTATGAATATATTGTAAGATATTTGGGTACCAGACAAAACCATTGCTTTAAGTTGGTCCAAAATTAAAATCAAGATTTTTTAAATCATTGACAGCTGCTTTTTCAATAAATTGCAACTAAGATATTTACAGACCTTGTCATTAGTCATTTGCAAAAATATTTTCATAAAATACTTACATTATCTGATTGACACAAAAGTACTCTGAAGTTGATATTGAAAAGCTACTCGAGTTATTGATTGACAATATGGAGACAATGTCTTCAAACAATTTGTCGGAATTCCAATGTGTATTGATTGCGCCCCGTTATTCCGTAAGTAGCAGCCTTGTGACCTTTTGTTATAAAATGAAGCAAAATTTCAAATTTTTCGGCGGGTTTGATTGACATATCCTTGCACTCTCACAAATTTAATTTTATTCTTAATCCTTAGGAAAAGTGGCAATCTCGTTTTGTATAAATGAAAATTATTAAGACTATAATCCAGAAAATTCAGAGTAGACACGTTCGAAAGCAAAACAAACACACAATATATTGTCAGTCCGTGCAGTTGTGGTAAGCAGACTGACGATTGAACGCACCCGGTGAATTCTAAATATAAACAATAACAGAACTCGAGCCCTGTTTACAAACACTGTGTACATAACACGAGTGTGCTCGATTTGCTAAACTCTGTACGCATCTCTTAGTTCGGAATGACGATACTTGTGAAGGTGTTTTGCTTTCTAACATTTCTACTCTGAATAAAATTATTTTTCTTCATAAAAGTTTTAATATATCTCATTAAAACACATCAAAATTGCCACTTTTCCTAAGGATTAAGAATAAAGTTAAAATTTGTGAAAGTGCAAGGATGTGTCAATCAAACCCGCCAAAAAATTTAAAGTTTTAATAACTTTTAAATGAAATAAAATTTTTAATCAATTTTTGTGTGAAATGCTATTAAAATATATATAATTCGTGATATTATACAGAAAAAATGAGAAAATGTTAACTTCAAATCTGTGTCCAAGTACCTTTAATAATTCTACAAATTCAAGGGGGATACGACCCCGGCCCCCCTCCCCGTCCTATGCATGCTCTTCTTTTTTAGCCTAAGCCGTAAAGCGGGGTACACAAATTTTCTGAATTGGCTGTTTTCCTAATGTTTTCAGCTGAGTTTTACAAGAGCACCGTATACGGTAAAACTCAGTTTTACAGAAGTCACTTGGTCAGTCCGACCTACGAAATAACTTCACTAGATCTGTAATTCGTTATATCTGTAAAAGAAATTCGTTAATTTTTTATAGATTAGCTTGAGATCTAAGATAACTTCTCTATATTATCTATTACATGTAATTACATGTAGCAATATCCGTTTTCGTATCTAAACGAGTTTTATGGATATGATTTTCATTTGAAATTGCCTCAAAGCTTTGTAACTAAAAAAATCGTTAAACTCCAAACAGACTAGAAACATTTACTATATTTGTTTCATCAGTCATGCTCATATACTGGCTTAGGCCATCTTCAAAATATTGTTTGGTTGCCCAAATAAGTGGTGTTTTTTATTATTTGCAAAGACCAGCCTATTTCATTGAATTATTTTATTTGCAGTCAATCAGTAGTTGGAGACTGCTTTTTAGATATTTAGGCCTAAAAGACATTTTAAATATTCATATTACTGAATTTGGTATTTTTTTTTACCATAATTATGATGGCATATCTGTTTGTTTCGTTTCTCTTTTTGAGAATTTTCTTTTATGAAATTGGGAAAAACACATACTAAAACTTTTTACCATTGGGAATGGTACGTTAACCCCCCCCCCCTCCCTAGGACCCCTCCAAAAACCATGAATCAGGCTTGATTAAGTTGCTAGCCGATTGAACATGTTAAACACATAAAGTAAAATTGATACAAAACATTTTCTTGTTGAAAAAAAAATTGAATCCGTCTTACATTATTCAAACGTAGACCCCTCTATAGGCCTATCCAAGAGCACTACTGCCACTAGGCCTGCTTTCAGCGCCGGATTTTGTCTCAATAGACGACTTTCACATTCCTCAATAATATGTTGTAAGCGGCCCGTGTCAAAGGTCAATCGGCGTAAAGTCTTTAACCTAAGCGGCCTTATTGCTAAAACAATACTGAGCGGGTATTATTTCGACTTGTTTATTTATCGAATTACTGTATTTTGAGCCATTTTACGTATACACAATTTGATATAGACTTACACTATGGATCCTGGAGATCAGATTTACACCCTGCAAGAATTCCAAACGTGGAAAACAGAAAATTTGAAGGCCTATTTAACCAAGAGGGGTCTGTCTAAAGAAGGTACTAAAGAAGAACTTGTAGCTCTTTGTTTTTCTGCTTCCAAGTTAAATCTACCTATTATTCCAACAGCTCGTGATATTTTAGAACATAATGCTAAGTGCTATGAAAGTATTTTATCTGCTTGTGGAATCCAAGACCCCCTGAAAACATACGAAGGATGGATGGACGAGAAGAGTGCAATAGATAAGTGGCCACCGACATTTTTGTCTGACATTACTCAGTTTTTATTAAATCATGGAGATGTCTCCCTTACAAATTCACTTCTCAAAGATTACAAGGTTGGCAAAGCATATGAATATTTTACAAGTGGCTGGCTCCAAGAAGTTTTTTATTACCGTTTGACAAGCGAAAAGAAATGCATCTTAAGAGCAAAGTGCACCCCCTCCCAACGAATTCGAGATGATTTACATGACTGCTGGGCAGCAATTTCGGAAGAGGATGGTGAGGTTTTTAGGAGCCTACTGTACATGTACTGCAGGGTATGAAAATTTACATTTCAGTTGACTAATTATGTAATGGTCAAATTTGATTTAATAAGATAAAGTGTGTCATACATGTTTTAAATTATATGTTTGACATTGATCAATATTGTAGATTAGGGCAAACATGCAACCATGTTGCTGCATTACTTTTTCGCATTGAGGCTGCTAATCAGTTTGGGCAGACATCATGTACTATGGCCAGATGTGGTTGGGTGCAGCCAAAGGTGATGAAAGATTTGGAGCCACAGAAAATATCAGCCTTATGTACCAGCCTGAAGAAATCTTCTCGAGCTAAATATGGTATATCATTTAAACTATGATTTCATAACATACTTCCATATTGTTGTTTACTTAAATATTCTGTGGTACCAGGGTATTATACAGTGTCCTTGAAATACATGAATTTTTTAAAATTTCTTTAGATGTTTTTTTTTTTTCATTTCATATACAACAAAAACACTAATGAAAGGCTAAATATATATCTTTTTTGAAAGAGATTATGAATCAATTTTGTGTTTATATATAATTTAATTTTATAGCTAAAAGCAGACCACTAGTGGCCACTGAAAAGAAAAAGTACAACCCTCTTGAAATTGAGGAGTCCAACACCGCCATACTTGACAGTTTGAGCATTGCACTTCGTGGTGTTGTCCCCGAGGCCTGTTTATTCAAAGGTAAATTATAACTAATCTAACATTATGGACTCTTTATAACAGGGGATTGAGACATATCATAAGTCTGAGTACAGTTGACACCTGAGAGCCCTTGTGCCAAAGGGCAACAACCCTACTCGGACCTGATAATTAGTGATGGTCCCCTTCTGAACAGTCCATGATTGTTTTATTATTATAAAGAATCTTATATTAAGATAGCATAAGATTAGAAAACATTAGTCAAATCTTGTTTTCTTCTATCGACTGCTCCAATTCCATACTTTCAAAGTATCTTCAATATAACCATGATAACTTTGTCCTCACTGTTAAAATTAATTGTTTACCAATCCGTAAACAAATTTAATTATGTAATTATAAATATGAGTCATCTTGTTTATGACATCTATTTTAAACTTAGTGAAGACAACAGAGTTGTCATACTAATTGCTCACTTGAGCTATTTTATAGTCATTTGAAGGGAGGCAACACAGGTGTCACCCTGCAGAGCATGAATAAGACTTCACAAATTGTCTCCTCACATTTGACAACCTTTAAACCAGTTAGCATGACTGCATAATTCTGAAATGTATTATTACTAATTAATTAATAAAAATCTATATAAGTTATATAACATAGTTATAAAATTTGTAAGATGGAAATACTGTAAAAATGTTTTCACATGTAATGATGTTCACTGACTAGTCTGGCACATTACTATGTTGCTTATCGATACTCTCCCGTGAGGTGTTTCCTGGTTTGCCCAGTTTGTTGGCTTGGTACATCATATAATATACAACATATCTAGTTTGACAAGACGTGGATAAATTTTACACCAGTCAAAGACTTATTGTGATTAGTTTTGTTTATTTACTTCAAGGTTTACCTCGGACTGGTGATGTTCCAACTTCAGCTCAGGAAGCAGAGGGAGCCGTAGGATTAAACGAAGAAGATACAGGCCATGAAGACCTTTCTGTTATTGATAAATTTGATTTATCAACCATATCAAAGTCTTATGGTTCTCAAAATACTTGTTATGAATTTTTAAATTTTTTACCAAAAATTGATGATTATGAAATTTCAACTATTGAGAAATTTACTGTTGGACAACATGAAAATGAAAATTGGCACCGCTTGCGTAAAGGACGGATAACTGCTTCTAAATTTTATCAAGTATATACAAAAGTGAACTCTGTTCTGGATGGTCGTAGAAAAGATGTACAAGTAGATTGTTCTTCACTTACCAAGTCTATCATGTGCTATACAAAGATTAATCCCAATATCAAATCATTAAAATATGGTAGAGAAACTGAGCCATTAGCAATCTGTTCTTATTTAAATACTTATAAAAAACAACATGTCAATGTGTCATCAAGAAAGTGTGGTCTGTTTATATACAAGAGAAATATGTTTCTTAGTGCTACACCAGATTTACTGGTTTCTTGTTCATGTTGTGGAGATGGTCTTCTTGAAGTTAAGTGTCCTCTTGTACCGGAGTGTAAAAAATGTAAATCTTTTTGTGTTTGTCATCTTCCAGAATATGTAAAAATTTGTAATGATGGTTTTTGTGTTAAAAAAAATCATGCATATTTTACCCAGATTCAGGGTCAACTCGGCATAACAGGTCGCAATTGGTGTGATTTATATATATACACAAAAA